AAAATAGAACAAGCAAATAAGGAATAAAAATATATAAATTGACAAATGTGTGTGCACGTATATTACAATAGACAGTTTTTTTTTTATGTACAGGTACTGTATATTATGTGCAAATTTGAGGTGTAGGCTGAGTATGAGTGTTAGATAAATAAGTGTATGAGTGAATAAATAGTGTGTGTTCCACGGTTATTGTCAAGTGTTCATGAGATGGATGGCCTGAGGGAAGAAACTGTTCCTGTGTCTGGTCGTTCTGGTTCTCAGTGCTCTGTAGCGTCGGCCAGATGGTAACAGTTCAAAGAGGGAGTGTGCTGGATGTGAGGGGTCCAGAGTGATTCTGCCAGCCCTTTTGCTCACCCTGGATAAGGACAGTTCTTGGAGAGAAGGGAGGGTTGTACCAATGATTCGCTCAGCAGTCCGGACTACCCTCTGTAGTCTTCTGAGGTCAGATTTGGTAGCTGAGCTGAACCAGATTTGAATTTGAAGAAAGTAGTTCCGCAAACAAAATGGTTGAAAGACACTCTGGTTGTTTCTTATTTATTTCCATACTTGTGATATTGAACAGTTGTGTTAACACAATATCACACTTGTAGCCATGTGATATCACTCTGTATCAGCATGGCTCTGACAGGGAAGGATTATGATGCAGTGGGCATGAACCAGCACCCTCTACCTTTGGGGAACCTTAAGACAAATCTAAAGGCTGAAGGCTGCAGGTTGTGCGTAGCACGCATAGCCTACGACGCAGACTGACGTGCACCTCTCCAGAAATGTAACGCTTCAATTCTACGCAGACCACAAGCACTGTGATTGGTCTGCTACAACCCCCCCACAAACCCTGCCTTTTAGGTCAAAAAAATAAATAAATCTGCGATAGCACCCCATTTCCTCATACGCATGTCTGCTTGTGACATAACAACAGTGAAAGCAAAGATTGACCAAGTTGAGGAGTGACTGTCTGAAAATATGTCCATCTGTACGACACCTCTTTATTAAACTACAAAGACTCCTAGATGGCAAATAATTTGTGTTAATCTAAGGTTAGAAAAGTCGGAGTGCTTGAAAAGAACAAATTTGTTCGCCTTCGTAAAAAGTGAACAGTTTGAGGAGCGGCGACCCAGGCGACAAAAAAGTTCCTGCACTTTTTGTGTTTCTTTCTTGGCTAGCTCCCCAGGTGAAACACAGAGAAATGAAGTCAAATTATGACAAAAAAATAGATAAATATTGTCATGACTTCGGTCTGATCAGCAGGTTGTTGTTGTT